ATCAGGATAGACTCTCCGCCTGGGGGTCATCACATTCCTAAGGAACTCAAGAGAACAAAGTTATCAACAGAAAGTAGCTGGGAAGGGCCATAAAATCCACAGAGCATGTCTGGGCTAGTTGGTCAGAGGTCATTCAAAATTACAATAGGGTTTCTTTTCTACAATATGGCTTTCCTTATGTCAACCTTCTGTTGAGCCAGTATCAAACCCAACCCCTGCCTCAGAGATGGCAGGAAGTCAGTGTCCTTGTTACTGCCTCCCCTCAACTTCATGGCGTTTGGCTTAAGGAGGGAGAGGGTTGTCAGAACATAAGGAAATATGGTATGTGAATTATAGCACAGTAAATAAAAAGTGAATAAATGAGCAGTGTTTGAGGGAAAAGAATTAGGGAAAACTGAATTCAGAATGGTACCTGTGCCCAAATCAAACAGTATTAAGCTCTGGATTTCAAGTGTTCCTGGAGTCTTTTGTTTTCCAGTGACAAACATGATGCTAGAATAACTATTAGATTTAGCTAAATGTTTACTGACAATCCTGTACAGGTGAGTTGTAGGAGAGCAAAATTTGCCACCTCAAAATGTATCCCTTTGGGGGCTGGCCCGCTGGTACAGCGGTTAAGTGCACGCACTCTACTTCAGTGGCCCGGGGTTTTCAGGTTCAGATCCCTGGCACACACCAATGCACCACTCGTCAAGCTATGCTGTGGCAGCGTCCCATATAAAGTAGAGGAATATGGGCATGGATGTTAGCCCAGGGCCAATCTTCCTCAGCAAAAAAGAGGAGGATTGTCATTGGATGTTAGCTCAGGGCAGATCTTCCTCACACATACACACACACAAAAATGTGTCTCTTTGGCATGAAGATTACTTTAGGCTGATTTTTTTTTTTTTTTTTTTTTTGCTGAGGAAGATCCGCCCTGAGCTAACATCTGGTGCCAATCCTCCTCTCTTTGCTTGAGGAAGATTCGCCCTGAGCTAACATCTGTGCCAGTCTTCCTCTATTTTGTATGCGGGTCACTGCCACAGCATGGCCGCCGACAGTGGTGTAAGTCCACACCCAGAAACCAAACTGGGCCTCCGAAGAGAAGCGTGCCGAACTTAACCACTAGGCCACAGGGCCAGCCCCTTAAGCTGATTATTTTTAAGAAACAAAAGACTTAGGAAGAGGTTTTACTTCCCCCTTCACTGCCTAAAAGAATTTGGATAAAGGGCCTGTTCCAGGATGGGAACTATCACCATAAATAACTACAGTATAATATGAACTAGCTGTGATGGAGAGGGAGGAACCTAGCAAAGTCTGTTTGCTCAGAGTCCTCTCCGTGTCCCATTGTTTCTGTATGGCCCAGCAAACATTTGTTTATCAAACATTTGCTCTTTTCATCTTCCTGTTAATTGCCTTTCTTACCTTTGAAGTCCCAGACCTCTACCCCCTTCTCTTTAGCTCTGGATGGCATACAATTCTCAGTTGCCTGACTGCCTATGGGCCTCATGTTCTTATGGAGCTCCCCGTGTGTATAAAATTAAATTTGATTTTTTCCTGTTAATCTGTCTCATGTCAATTTAATTCTTAGACCAGGCAGAAGAACTTATAAGAGCAGAGGAGAAATTTTTCCTCCCCAGCAGAGGCTTAGCATGGAGGCCAACACGTGGGCACTGGGCTCTGTGCCCTTGGACAACTTATTTAACCTGTCGCAGTTATTAATACAGGAAATGCACTGCTGGCCTGGAATGGCAGTTACAACTTAATGAAAGAACTCTTGATGTCATGAGGTCTGGATGATTGTCCTGATTCGGCCTCTTGCTGGTGTAGCCTCCGACTGACCATTAGTAAAATGAGAGCCAGGGTCCCTATCCTGCCCTCCTCTTATTCTGAGATTCCACAAGATAGTTTAATAACTGTAATAAGGCATATTTTATGAGCCTCAGAGGAGATGGGGATAGACTTGGCTGAATGCTGGTGTACTACCTGCATGGGGAAAAGGCAGTAATCCCTGGAGCCAGATGTCAAAGAGGGTTCGTTGGGTCACATGGCCTAGAAGGACAGTAAGCCCAGCTGGGATAATGTCTGTGTGAAGTCCACTGCCAGGTCTGTGCCTGCCTCGGCTTAGGAACAGCTGGTGAATTCCCATAAAACTGCAGATCTGTAAAAAGATGTAAAGGCTGGATTGGGTTGGTGAGACCTCTCTGTTGGGTCCAAATCTTTGCCTTTGTGATGCTAGTGCTCTGTCTTGAGCTGCCTCATGAGGCTGCTGAGAGCATCAACTTGTCTTCAACAGAAGAGGGAGAAGCCAGCATTGTGGAGTGCTTTTCACATGTGTGCTGTGAATTATTTACCCATGAGGAAATTGAGACTCAGAGGGGTTAGGTAACTTGCCCAAAGTACACAGCAATGAGAATGAATCAGAATAGGCTTGGGCTTATACCAACATAGGTATAAGGAAAATGCCATTAATTTCAGCTTTTTTTTGGCTAGCTGAGCAAAAAAAAAAAAAACCCAAGCTAACATCTGTTGCCAGTCTTCCTCGTTTTGCTTGAGGAAGATTCGCCCTGAGCTAACATCTGTGCCAGTCTTCCTCTATTTTGTATGTGGGTTGCCGCCACAGCATAGCTGCTGACAAGTAGTGTAGGTCCACACTGCCCCAGGATCCAAACCCTTGAACCTGGGCCACCGAAGCAGAGCGTGCGGGACTTAACCACTATGCCACAGGCCGGCCCCTCAGCTTTCTTTTGTAATAAAAAAAAGTTTGAGGCAATATATTTGCATGTAAATAAATATAAGTGAAAAATGAAGCTCCCTCCCTCCGGTATCCTTCCAGAGGTATTCTGTTCATATAAAGGCATGTCTGTGTGTATGTAAATGTGTATACATAATCTTTTTCCCAAACACAAATAGAAGCATACCAAATTGACTGTTCTGTATGCTACTTTTTTTTAACTTAAACTATTTTGGAGATTGTCCTATACAGGCATACCTCATATTATTGCACTTTGCAGATATTGGTTTTTTTTTTTACAAGACCCTCTACCAGCAGAAAGATTACAACTTCCTGAAGGCTCAAATGATGGTCAGCAGTTTTTAGCAATAAAGTATTTTTTAATTAAGGCATGTACATTGTTTTTTTAGACATAATGCTATTGCACACTTAATAGACTACAGTATAGTATATAACATAAAAAAATTCGTATGACTCACTTTATTGCCATATTTGCTCTATTGCAGTGGTCTATAACTGAATCCACAATATCTCTGAGGTATGCTTGTATTTGTTTTGGGATAATCAATATTTATTTGACTATTAGATAAATGATTTATCATTTTAACATTTACTAGTATTTCTCTGGCACTAAAAGTAAGACATTTTCACTATACAAAATTCAGAAAATTAATCGTCTCTGAACTCAGCATCTGTGTGCAGCAATTTCGGGACTCCCACATTTCCAAGTTTTTGGAGTCAGGACACAATTTTAAACCAGCCAGTGCCCAGATGCCCTCTTTCAGTTAAAGGTTCCTTATAGAGACATTGAAAAGACCTGAGATGTTCAGTTATCCTGCTTCTTTCTTCACTGTTTTTTTTTTGCTGGGGGAGGGATTAGACATTCACATTTAAAAACCAGACACCCACGCTGTGTTTGGTAGCCAGTGGTGTGTCATTAAAAATGAACATGAGTACACCTAAAAGTAATACAATGTTATATGTCAATTATATCTCAATGAAAAATAATTTTAAAAATGAACATGAGCATTTGGTGCTGATTTTCCAGATGTGGAATCCAGAAGTCTTTTCTGGCAGTTCTGGCAGAGTGATGGCAAGTGAAAATGAATTGGGAGCATAGGCATGATTTGTATCCTCAGGACCCTGGGGGTCTGAAAGCTCTGTTGGTGAAAGGGAAAGTACATTCCCACACCATCATTACTGTACTTAATCTAGCAGCATTCTTTATGGAATGACGCCTGTCGTCCAGGCACTTGGCAAGAATCCTGCACCTCGAGTCCAGGGAGGTCAGTACACGCCTAGGGGGCAGTCAGAGCTGAGGAGCAGATGGTAGCTCACTCTGCAGGCAGGGCAGGCTGGGAGGATCTTGAATTGGGAGCTACAGGGAAATGGGACAGGGAGCCTCTGGGACACATCACCCTCACCACCTTCTCCTACAACAGGCCCTTCCCCTCCAGCTTTGCTCCTTCCCCCCTGCGCTGCCCCAACCATGTCAGAACAGGTCACTCAACCCTCCCCACCATGAGCCTCTTCAGTGTTGAGTAAGTGGAAGTTATGCTGGGTAAATAACCTGACAACTATAATGAGTTTGGAACCATAATGAGCTCACGGGTCTACCCTCACATTTACCTCACGTTTTCCCTGCAATCTCCTTCCAAAAATAAAATTGTGGTAAAACACCAAGTTAGTTATTATTTCAGTGAATTTAAGTTCTACATCCCAGCAGGATGTGGTATAGCCTCATTTTATTTATATGTGAGCTCTTGAGTGCTGGGCATATTTTATTAACTGTTTTAGATATGATGTAGTTTTAAGTTTTTACTAAAAATATCCTTTTTATTTTGGCCTGCAGTTTTTTTCTCATTAAAATGTGTTATGTTCCTGGTAACATGATTGATTACAGGTTTTTTTTTTTCCTTTCTAGTTATGAAAAACCTCCTCCTGGGCTTATCAAGGTCAGTGTGAAGTTTATACTTCTGGTTATTCTCTTAGACAGTTGACTCAGTGCTCAAACTCCGTAATTTATGAAAAACAGTTGCATAAGGTTTTAAACCTGCTTTTATGATAACCCTCTTCTTCCCTGCAGATGCCAGTCAGTTCATACACTTTGGGCTTTGTCACAAGCCTGTGCCTTTGTAGAAATTTAATCAGCTGTGTGTGTGTTCCCTGAGAAACCACGGCAGGCCCGCATTATGTTCCTCAGTAGTCACTCCCCTTTTCTCTCTCTCACTTGTGACTGCATCTTCTCAAAGCTCTGCTGCCCCGTATTCCTTCTGTGACTCGCCCGGTGCTGGTTTCTTGAATGTCCTCAGCTCAGAGAACAGCAGGCTCTGAGGAGACTTGAAGCTCATCCAGTCCAGTCTCCTCTGGTGCAGGAGTCTCTCCTCCAGCACCATGGCCAGTGTCAGTGTCCTTCTGTGGGAGTGAGACTTAGAGGAGGAGTTAAAGGAGAAAGCAACCTTTTCTGTTTGGTAACTTTCAATTTTAAAAGATTTTTAAAAATTTTTTCCATTATAAATTTAATATTCACGAAAACTTGAAAAAAATCAGACGGTGAAAAAAACAGCACCTTAATTGTATAATGCAGTTATTTGGTGATGAAAATACGTTTCATAAATACAGCATGTATGAGATTACGTTTCATAAATACAGCATGTGTGAGATTATCAAACATGACAGTGGGCTTCAAGGTATAATAATCTATTTTTACTTAAGTGTTATTATTATTCCAGGAAACCTTACTTGTTTAATGCTATACTTTGCCTCATTCCACAATGCTTTTAAGTTAACGGAAGACTTTTTGTGATCTTAGAATCTAATTTTTGTGATCTAGAATCAGAATTTGAAGCTCACAAATCATTCCTGTGTAAACAACACTTGTAATATTTCTCTAAGAACAGTACTTTGTTTTCGTGATACAGTTCTTCTGGTGTATTTATTTCCATTTTTTCTGTCAGGTCTAGTTTTTCTTTCCAGTTCTTGGGATGGTTACCAGTGATGACACGGGGATCTCCAGCCCATGAGAAAGCCAGGCAGTGCTGTGTTCTGAAGCGGGTGGGAGAGAATTCCAGTGCTTTTTTGCCACATTGTTTACACATTGTCTCTTTCTTTTAGGAAGATGAGACTAAGCCAGAAGACTGTATACCAGATGTTCCAGGCAATGAACATGCCAGGGAGTTTCTGGCTCATGCACCAACTAAAGGACTTTGGATGCCACTGGGGAAAGAAGTCAAAGTTATGCAGTGTGAGTAAGGAAGAGTTTGAGTAACACTCAATACACGCAGGATATGTACACCAATTGACAAAGTGTGTTTACTTCTTTTAATTAATTGGTTCTCACCACAGCCCTGTTAAAGTCCTGGCATGATCTCTACTAAGGAAGCTGACTAGCATATATTAGTAAGTGGTCTGAGGTAAGAGGCAGAGCAATGCTTTAACTCCAGGGCTTCTGACTCAAGTGCATTGGTCTTTCCACAGGGCCGTAGCAGCCTCTGGAGTATTCTCCAGTAATATTCCTGTATCTCAAAGGTATTCCATGGTAGAAATGCCATCGGGGACAAGGGATGCATTGGAGGGCAGGTCCCTTTGGGTCTTGCCTCAGTCAGTTATCCTCCATCAGTGGTGTTATGGTCTTATCCCTGTAACTCACGGGCCACAGAGGGTGGGTCTGGAACAGGTAGAGCTCTGCGTGAACACCTGCCACCCCACAAGAGTAGCAACACCTTCATCTAGCATACGATGGCATTTGAAGAAAGGGTAGTGCTGCGTTTTAAAGACATTTGTTTGGGGCCGGCCCCGTGGCTTAGCGGTTGAGTGCGCACGCTCCGCTGCTGAAGGCCCAGGTTCAGATCCCGGGTGCGCACCGACGCACTGCTTCTCCGGCCATGCTGAGGCCACGTCCCACATACAGCAACTAGAAGGATGTGCAACTATGACATACAACTATCTACTGGGGCTTTGGGGGAAAAATAAATAAATAAATAAAATTATAAAGACATTTGTTTGTACAAAGATTATTCATGCACATAATTAAAATAGCAGTTCCCAGCCCCTTTCCCCCATTCCCCTCACGCCAGAGGGAGCGACTTGAACCTCTTTTAAGAAAGTTATTTTGAAGTTTATCTCCATGTATCTAAATAACATGATTGTATTCCTGCCCCGTGATATTTCAGGTTTCTTCATTATCTGTTGACTTCTTACTGTAGAAGAATTCAGCTCTTTTTTTCTGCGTCCACCTCACCTCATATACATACCCTTCCTATCTCCCATTTTCACAATGATACATATATCACAATTTAAATAAATCTTGTGTTTATTTTATGATTATTTTTAGAGTTGAATCGTGTACTGAACTGATTATGATTACATTTCCTTTCATGCGTCCTGCATGATGTTTTGTTTTCCCTGCAAATAGTTGTCTTTTTGTTGTTCTTGTTTTTGCTTTTTTTCTGTGTACTGATCACTAAATCACGATCTTCAGATGCTTGAGGTATTCTATCAATTTTATCTTTCAAAGATAGTTGCTCCCCACACCATCACCCAGGGATCTTCCTTCACCATCATCCTCTGGTTTCCCCTGAATGGATCTCCTATTTCCTGTACCTTGGGTCTTCTTTTTTGTTATATTCTCTTGCTATGGTAGAGCAATTCTCCGGGAGCTGAGAAATGGGTTTATGGAAGATAAAATTTTCAAGACTTTATTTTTCTGGAAACATTTCTATTTATATTTTTAGTTTGCCAGGGTATAGAATTCTAAGTTAAAAACCAGCTTCCTTCAGAATTTTGAAGGCATTGCTCCATTGCCTTCTCATTTGTAGAACTGCTGTTGAGAAATCCAAAGCAATTAAGGTTCCAGATGCTTTGATGTAAGCTGTTTTGTTGTTGTTGCCTTTTGTTTTTTATTTTTCCTTCCTGGAAACTTATAAGATCATCTCTTTGTCCCCAGTGTTCTAAAATTTCACAAACTGTTTCACTGATTATTTCCTCCCCTCTGTGTCTGCAATTCTATTATTCAGATAGTGGACTTCCTAGACTGATTTTCTAATTTTCTGATCTTTTCTCTCCTATTTTTACTTTCTGCTTTCTAGAATATTTCATCAACATGTCTTGCAATCCTTCAATTAAGTTTTTTTTTCTGCTATCATATTTTTCAATTCCATAAACTCTTTTTTGTTGTTTTTTATTCTGTTCTTGTTCTTGCAATATATTATCTAAGGATGTTAATTTTTTTTCTTCTTCTGTTTCTGTTTCTTCCAAGTTGGTGTTTTCTATTTGTTTGTTTTTCGCCTTTGTCTTTCATTTATCAAGAGGCTTTCAGATGTCTGCTAATCTGTGGCTGCCTACTGTATTATGGTAATCCATGGCTGGGTGACAAATGACCCCAAAATGTAGTCACTTAATACAACAATTAACATGTATTATCTCACCGTTTCCGTAGGTCAGGAATTCAGGAGCAGCTTATCTGGGTGATTGTGGCTTTGAGTCTCTGATAAAGTTGCAGTCAAGATGTTAGCTGGGGCTGCAATCATCTGAAGGCAGGAAGGGGACTGGAGAATCCATTTCCAAATCGCTCATCCATACACCCAGCAAGTTGATGCTGGCTCTTGACAGACGCCCTCAGTTTTTGCTACATGTACCTCTCTGTAAGGCTATTTAAGTCTTAGGATAATACAGGGGGCTTCCCCTAGCACCAGTGATCCAAGAGACAGCAAGGTGCAAGCAACACTGTATTTTTTGACCTAGCCTCAGAAATCATAAGCTGTCATTTCCATAATATGCTATTGCTTACACAGCTCAGGCCTGTTCATTCTGTTTTTTGGGTTTTTTTTTTGTTGTTTTTTTGTGTGTGTGTGTGTGTGAGGAAGATTAGCCCTGAGCTAACATCCAATACCAATCCTCCTCTTTTTGCTGAGGAAGACTGGCCCTGAGCTAATATCTGTGCCCATCTTCCTCTACTTTATATGGGACACCGCCACAGCATGGTTTGACAAGTGGTGCATTGGTGCCTGCCCGGGATCCGAACCCGGGGCCGCCACAGCGGAGCGCACACACTTAACCGCTACGCCACTCGGCCAGCCCCAGGCCTGTTCATTGTGGAAGGCAACTGCAGGAGCATATGCATACCAGGAGGTAGGGCTCACTGGGGTCCTCTTGGAAGCTGTCTACCACACTTACTCCTGTTTAGGAGTGAGAGATTTTTTTAAAGGGCAAAATATAAGTTCTAAACGTTTGAGTAGAGATTGTTAACTGTGGATCTCACTGTAGGGTGACCTGTCTGGGCTGCTTAGTTCTGTAACCTTTTTTTTTTTTTTTAACAGATAGCAAAATATTTATTTTATTGTTGTAAATGGTAACCTCTGAGATCAGTATCTCTAGGTCTTTCTCATTAGGCTGGTTAGATCTTCACGGAAAAGTTGTTTCCTGCCTGAGGGTGAAGGCCACATTCCTTGTGTTCTGGGAACTGATTGGAGGAAGGCGACTGTGAAGTCTCAGCATCCAGTATTCAGTCATTCACATAATATGCCTATGTTCACTATGGCACCTTGCTTTCAAATGTGCCTGACATCTCCACAGCCAGAAAATAAACCTCGTTTTTACCAGGTGAGGGAGAAATGCACATGGTCTTTTGACCATCCTTATTTAAGCTACCCCTTCAACTCTTTCTAGAACTATGCTGCCGATTCCTGAGCTTTTAGGGGCTCTACAAATCAAAATTGAGCTGGTTCTCAGTTTTCCCTTAGAATTCAGTTTTCTGGGGTCTGCTATTCATTTAGCACACTCTGTCTGCATTATTACTTCCAATATTTTTTTTACTGTTGTCTCCTTTCCTGTTTTCCCTGTCCTTGTGCTTTATGTCTTTTTTGTTTTCCCTGAGGAAGATTCACCCTGAGCTAACATCTGTTGCCAATCTTCCTCTTTTTTTGCTTGAGGAAGAATAGCCCTGAGCTAACATCTGTGCCAGTCTGCCTCTATTTTATATGTGGGACGCTGCCACAGCATGGCTGACGAGTGGTGTTGGTCCACACCTGGGAGCCAAACCCAGGAACCCAGGCCGCTGAAGCAGAATGCGCCAAAGTTAACCACTGCGCCATGGGACCAGCCCCGTGTCTTTTTTAAAAGCATTCTCTTTATTGTCATTTTTATGGGATGTCAGGCAGGGGATGAAAGTAAATGATTATTTTTAGTCTGCCACCTTTACCCAGATGACTGCTGTGCTTTTTTTTTTTTTAAAGTTTAAAACCACTCCTGTGTTTGATGGGCTGGTTAGTTGTGTTGAACTTACCATTTTACAGTTCTTTTCATTGACTTGGAAATTAAGAGCGTTTGGTTAAGACCAGAACCAGTTTTACCATGAAGTTAATGAAGCTTAAGGTTTAGGGTCCCTCACTTGCACCTTCCAAAGGCCTGTGGAGTCCCAACAATGTGTTCATATGGTCCTGTCTTTTTATAAAATTTGTCAAGGCAAGATTTTTTTTCTTTTCCCTAAAGAGCCCTTCCTCCCCTTCAGTTATGTAAGCTTCAGGCTCCACAAACTTGGATCCATCCCAGATGAGAAAAAACACACACAAACACTATTCACACTTTCACTGATTCCAGTGCTCCTACTGCTATCTAGAGCATACCTTCTCAAACTTAGGGTGGGCCTGATACTCTGTATTTCTAACAAGCTCCCAGGTGATGCCAATCTTGCTGGTCTATTGACCAGACTTTGAGTAACAAGGATCACCTTTCCTTTAACAGAGAGTTTTGATCCAAGATAGTATGGATCCTTCTTGATATCCACACATCAATCCATGGCATTTAACATCCTGCATTTTTGTCAAAGATAGACATCTGTTGGAAGGGGTCTGCATCTGCATTAAGAGTACATACTTTTTTCCCCAGGTAGAAATAACTCAAAATATAGGGGAGATAAGGACAAGAGAAACCAATAGAGAAATCTTGGACTTCATTTTTTCCAATGGTTTCCAATAAAAATACAAAGGGAAAAACATTACTTCCCTGTCACTACATATTTTCAGTAGATGCCGGAATGGAGCAAAATTGGGTGATCTCCCCTATAATCCCTCTTCCTGCTTCCTGACCTCCTTGGTTGGAGTTGCCTAATGCCTGTAGTTTGCTAGGACTGCTATAGCAAAGTACCACAAACTGGGTGATTTAAACAAGAGAAATTTATTGTCTTACAGTTCTAGAAGCTAAAAGTTCAAATCCAGGTGTCAGCAGGGTTAGTTCCTTCTGAGGGCTATGAGGGAAGGATCTATTCCAGGCCTCTCTGAAGACCCTATCTCCCAATAAGGTCACATTCTGAGGTACTAGGGGTTAGGACATTCAGCATAATGGTGGGACTCCGGGGATGACACAATTCAACCCATAAACACATGGTAAAAAAAAAAAAAACACCACACTTTGCTTTTTGCATAGGATCGCTTAGTAAGTAATTAGTTCGTTTCTAAAACTCCAAGATTAAAGGATGCTTGAGGAAGCAATTAGTTTCCCTCTATTTTCTGGGATCTTATATAGTTCATCCACTGATTGCATTTGCTTTTAAGATTGGAATCATACGAAGAATATCTTTAATATGATCTACTGATACTTTACCTTGATTAAGTAAAAATGCGTTATCTTACAGAAATATATCCCTTTTTCTTTGTTTTTAGGTTGGCGTTGTAAACGGTATGGTCACCGAACGGGCGACAAAGAATGCCCTTTCTTTATCAAAGGCAACCAAAAGTTAGAACAGTTCAGAGTAGTAAGTAAAACCCCAGAGTGTCGATTTACGTTTACCAGAGATGGTGAATGTCGGTGAATCAGGCAGTCACCAGTGAACTGGAGGGTCACATAAAACACATTCCCAAAAGCCTTTTGGCCAGAGTATCGAGTGTTAACTACCTCTCTCTTAAATCGAATTTGTGTGATAGATTAGTTTATTAACAAAAAAACTGACTTCTTATTAAAGTGTTATTTGTTTATGCCTTGGGAACACTGATTCTTTTTCTGAAGCAGACATTGTTACCTATTCAGTCACTTTTTTTTTTTTACTTATTATATAAAAAAATTATGTTTCATAACTAAAATCAGGGTTCTAGTTCCCAGTCTTTGTCTAAAGATTAGATATCTTTCTATTATAAACTAGAAGTGTGTATATAAGTGATATATCCTCTTTAGATGGCAGTAATTTCCTCACTTTGTTTGACAGAGTCATCTCCCAGGGGTGTGAATTCACCATTCAGTAACTGTTTTGGTCAATTTAACCTTGCTGTTATCAGATTTATTGGGATTATCAGCATATATCAAACTGGGATCCACAATTCTCTAAGGATTTTAAGACATTTAAAATATTGTGCTTTCATTTTAATAATTTGAAGAAAATATTCTGGATAAATCACTGCTAGCTGGAACGTTGATTTTTACAGATCCTATAACATAATTTCGTGATAAATCTCAAAAACTTAAACATACTTATACTTTTTAAATTCGGAAACCTAAATTCTAAGAATTGATTCTAAGGATATAACAACATCAGTATACACAAATTTTTATGAATGTATAAAGATAACTTTCAGAATTATTTATATGGTTGAAAAAGAGAGTAAAGAAAAATAGGCGGGCTGGCCCCATGGCTTAGCGGTTAAGTGTGTGTGCTCCGCTGCTGGTGGCCCAGGTTCGGATCCCAGGTGCGCACCGACGCGCCGCTTCTCCGGCCATGCTGAGGCCGCATCCCACATACAGCAACTAGAAGGATGTGCAGCGATGACATACAACTATCTACTGGGGCTTTGGGGGATAAATAAATAAATAAATAAAATTTTAAAAAATTAGAAAAATAGGCAACAACTTCAATGGCCCACATACGAACATAAATTACTGTAACATAGAAATTATATAGCTTTTAATAATTATGTTTTACAAGAATATGTAATGTCATGGGAAGATGTTCATGAAAACATGAGTGAAAAAAGAATTGAGTTGTGTATATAATTTTTTGTAAATTATGAATAATGACTGGAAGAACCACAATTAAAATGATAGCAGTGGCTATGGTAAGACAATAGATATTTTTATCTTTTTTTTTGTGAGGAAGACTAGCCCTAAGCTAACATCCATGCCAATCCTCCTCTTTTTGCTGAGGAAGATTGGCCCTGGGCTAACATCCGTGCCCATCTTCCTCTACTTTATATGGGACACCGCTACAGCATGGCTTGACAAGCAGTGCGCATTGGTGTGTACCCAGGATCCGAACTTGCAAACCCCGGGCCGCCGAAACAGAGTGCGTGCACTTAACCACTGCGCCACCAAGCCAACTCCGACTTTATTTAATATGTAAAATTTTTATAATAAACATATTTTTAAAGATAATTTACATACCATAAAATTCACTCGACATGTATTCATATTTTTAAGTAATTTAAGTGATTTTAAATTATACAATATTACAAGAATAGATTTGTCTTATGTTTAACAAAATGAAAACATTACAGTAAGGTTTTTCACAACTGACTTTTCAAGTCGAATCCAGCCTCTCTCCCCAGAGAAAATATGCAGTAAGTAGCTTGATGAATATACTTCCAGATTTTTTTTTGGCATATACATGTTTTTTTGCACCTATAAATGAATCATTCTTACATATCATTTTCCAACTCACTTGTTTTGCTTAAAAATGTCTCTTGATCATGTCTACATAGAACAAAGAGAATTACCTTGATATTTCTAATCTTGAGTAGTATTTAATGATTCAGCCATGGTTTATTTCCTTATAAAGGCTATTTAAATTATATCGTATATTTGTATAATTGGAAAATCTTTTTTATAGCCTTTAGGAGTTTGAAGTGATGGTGACTCTTAGGAAGGATTAGAACATATTGAATATAAAATTACACCAAACAGGGAAAAAAACTGGTTTCAGTGAAACAGAAATTTAATTTTAATTTAAATAACAGTCTATGAAGCCTAACCAAACCTTAACCTTCTCTAACCCTCAAGGCACATGAAGATCCCATGTATGACATTATACGAGAGAATAAAAGACATGAAAAGGACATAAGGTGAGGTTGTCCTGATGATAACAATACCCTCTTAAAGTTTTAAATTATATAAAGTTGGAAACAACCATTCCAGTATTAGAGGATTGGTTTAGTAAATATAGTACTTTGTGAAATATTTAGAGGGCAAGAGTAATCACTGAAAAGGCCAGTGTGTGGGGAATGAGCAGGTCAGCCTTGTCCTACTTGGGTTAGCTTAAAGCAGTGGGCTTGGCACAGCCCGCCCACACCACTGATAGTTGATGTTGGCAACTATAATTTATCTTCTCCAATGTCTTAGGGTTAAAGATACAGTGAAAAAACAGGAGAGTTTGTTTTTCTCAAATTGGTGGTACTGAGTTATAATTGTTGAGGAGGCAGATCACCTAGTATGAAGTTGAGCAATGGGGGAATGATTTAGGAAGGTATGCATCTGTTAGAAGTTATAATAGTAAGGACTATAGAAACATGCAGAAATATTTACGACAATGAAAAGAAGACAAAATGGCTTGTACACTGGTTACACTCATGCAAAATAGGCCTGGATGTGGACAAGAATGGGGAAAATACGCAAAAATAAAAATAAGTGCTGTCTTGAGCCAGCCCTAATGGCCTACTGGTTAAAGTTTGGAGCACTCCACTTTGGCAGCTCAGGTTGGCTTTGGGCATGGAACCACACTACCCGTCTATCAGTAGCTATGCTGTGGCAGCAACTCACAAAGAAGAACTAGAAGGACTTACAACTGCAATATATAACTATGTACTGGGGCTTTGGGGAGGGGAAAAAAAAGAGAGAGAGATAGGAAGATAGGCAACAGATGTTAGCTCAGGGCAAATCTTTCCCAGCAAAAAGAAAATAATAATAAGTGCTGTCTTTAAGGAGGTGATTATTCATGATATTTATATCTAAAAATAATTTTTTTTTAATATGATTCTTTGACCAATCTTATATGTTTAGGATACAACAGTTAAAACAGTTACTGGAGGATTCCACTTCAGATGAAGAGGGGAACAGCTCCAGTTCCTCAGAATGTAAAGAGAAACACAAGAAAAAAAAGAAGAAAGAAAAGCATAAGAAAAAGAAGAAAGAAAAGAAAAAGAAGAAAAAACAAAAGCATAAGTCTTCCAAGTCAAATGAGAGTTCAGACTCAGATTGACAAGAACTTGACTTGTTCAACATTCTCTTCTCAAAAATCAAACCCTGTGGCCAAAGATCAGAGGAATGTGGAATCGGAGAGAAACGAGAGAGACACACCAAGAGAGGAGGATGTTTGGTGTCACACATGTAATTCTCATCTTCCTTCCAGTAAAGATGTGACCCACAGGAGAGGGGGTTGTGTCTTCCCGGGTGCTAACTCTGCACAATGGCTGATTTCAGGCAGGACATCTTTTTTCAGTGTCCTCCTCCCTGCTGATCACTGCGACTTGTGATTCCTCAGAAATGCCTCTGCCAGGGTGGCTGGACCAAGGAATCTTGGAGGAAGCTCCTCCAGATGCTGCCGCAGCTTCCACCCTCCACGGTGGGGCACTTAATTCCCACAGACTTCAGGCTTGACTCTTTCTGTTGCTGAGGACAATAAAAGCTGATTATTTATTTTTTAAATATATTTATTTTTTATTTCTGAATAATACATGCATGTGCTCCAAATTTAAAAGTTTTTTTGTGGGTGTGTGTGTGTGTGAGGAAGATCAGCCCTGAGCTAACATCCGTGCTAATCCTCCTCTTTTTGCTGAGGAAGACCAGCTCTGAGCCAACATCCACTGCCAATCCCCCTCCCTTTTCTTCCCCAAAGCCCCAGCAGACAGTTTCGTGCCATAGTTGCACATCCTTCCAGTTGCTGTATGTGGGACGCGGCCTCAGCATGGCCAGAGAAGCAGTGTGTGGGTGCGCGCCCGGGATCCGAACCCGGGCCGCCAGTAGCCGAGCGTGCACTTAACCGCTAAGCCACGGGGCCGGCCCTCCGGATTTAAAAGTTATATGAGGGTTAATCATGAAAACTCTTCTTTCTTACTTCCTCCCCCAGCAGCCCAATGGCCGCCAATTTTACCAGTTTCTTGTGGAGTCTTCCAGAAATATTTTATATATCACAAACAAATATAGGGCTTTTTTTACACAAATGTGATACATTCATCTGCACATTTTTTTAACAGTATAAAACTGATTATTTTACTATCAAGTACATTTGCCCTTGCTGCACAAAAAAATGTGTTTATAATCACCTGAGATGATTGGTTGATTGGGGGAGGGGTTCCTATAACAACAATGAAAAATCTTGTGTGGTTACATTGTATTTAACTTGCTTGGATCTTAGTACCTGAGTCCCAAGACTTGCCTGGAGGAGCTGACTCAGAAAAATTTTCAGAATTACTATACTGAGTCAACTACCCACATCCCAAAATACATCCCTCACTCTCTTCCTCTTCCTATTGGTTAAGCACAGCTCACTTTTGCTCTTCTACATTTGTGCCACAACAGAAGCAGCTCAGCCCATCAGAGTGGTGCCTGCAGCTAAGGGAGAGTAAGTCTTGTTCTTTGCTCAGCCATAGTGGAGCTAGATCTTGCTCACAGGTAAGTGTCCCTCCCTATCGAGCAGGGTCTATTCCAGTATTCAGGGTCCCAGGCACTCTCTACGCTGATTTTCAGCCTCTTTCCTTGGGGGTTGGATTCCTTCCTCTTTAAAGAACAGCCAATCCAGGGCTGGCCCCGTGACTTATAAGGTTAAGTGCGCACGCTCCGCTACTGGCAGCCCAGGCTCGGATCCCAGGCACGCACCGACACATCGCTTCTCCGGCCATGCTGAGGCCGCGTCCCACATATAGCAACTAGAAGGATGTGCAACTATGACACAACTATCTGCTGGGGCTTTGGGGAAAGAAAAGGAGGAGGATTGGCAATAGA